CCAACCTCCTTGCCGGATTGGTTGGTAGCCTCCTCACCATCCTCGACGGCAGCAAATTTCTCAGACTGTGACACCGAAACGCGGGAAGGGGAGGCGGTCGCTGGGAACATGATTTGGCAAACAACAACGTAGGCACGAGGGCTTAGGCCAACCACATTCAAAAGCAAATCTGGGTTCAGAATTTGCAGTTGGCTTAGGGCATTGTAAAAGGAACCAGTGACAGATTTTTCAAGTTCACCCCGGTAGAGTTTAGCTTCGTCCTGAGCTTCACTCAGCTGGGCCCTGGCTTCCTTCAAATTGTTATGGGCTAACTTCATTTCCCCCTCTACCTTCTCATATACGATTTTGAAATCACTCAAACTCTTGTTGTTGCTAGCATGAAGATATTGAAGCTTCTCATGATCACGTTGAAGTTGCGTCAAGGATGTTTTTGCCTTTCCCAAGTCTGATAAACTTTCGGTATATTTCTCCTTCATTGATGAAAAATCTTCTTTCACCTTGATCAACTCGGCAACAGCCTTTGCTTTCTCTTCCCGCGAGGCAGTAGCTTCGTCAAGGGAACGAAGATACTTACGCTTCAACAAACGTAATGATTTCGTTAGCCCAGACAACTTTAGGCCACCAAGCTCCAGATCATCCAGCACCTTGATTTCTTCAGTTGTGAAAGGTTTTGCACTAGCGAAAGACTCAGGTGGAAGAACTGCCTCTCGGATAGCATCAGATATCCCGGATTCCCATACAGCATGCTTAACCAAACCAGAACCAGAAGTAGGAGGAGGGGGATCCATCACTCGCCGAGGAGGGGATAGCGGAACATTTTCGGTAGGGATCTCCTTGCCTTTGTTCCCAATTTCCCTTTTTTCCGACACCTTGGCTTTTGACTTGTTAACAACATCCTTGGGCGGATTCAGCTCGAACACCTTCCTCTTTTTCCCCACCCCAGAAGAACTATCTTTCTGCGGCAACTTGGAGGTAGACTCGTTCTTTCCTTTGGTCAAAGCGGTCAACCAACTTGGAGGAGTGTTTGGCTGCTTTTCCATTTGGGGAACTGAAAAGCAAACAAAATAAAGCAAAATAATGAAGATTAGCTGTTATGCGGGGTATGAAACATTTCTATATAGCAATCAGACATACTTAATTCGGCATCAAGCTCCTCTTGAGATTTATAAATAAGAGACGCAACGCTAGCATGTTGATGCGTCTGAAGATAGGTACCGATGGCAATCACGGTATTAATATCATTGCAATCTAACTGGGACTCTTTAAAGCGGTAGCTAGAAGGAGGAAACTGAAAATGATCGGGTGACCAACACAAGGGAAATTTTCCCTGTACCTCCTTGGTGCCACAGTATTGGAGAAACCATACCTCCTTACCGGGATGCGCGCACACTTTAAAAAACTTGTTTTTAAAACCCTTAAAAGATTCTGTATAGACCTTAAAGAGTCTACGGCCAGGAACACCTCGGACAGTAATCCAACCTTTCAGTTCTGGGGGTTCACGACCAGTTCGACAAGAAATGACTTGAAAGAAGAAAAAGAAAACCATAACGGAATGGCGAAGAACAAGGTAGGCACAAAACCGCTCAAAGGCCTTAACGAAACCCCACCCGTTGGGATGGAGTTGTGTAGGGCATATGTGAAGATGATTGAGTATCTCTATTTGAAACTCGGTCAACGGAAATCGGATTCCAAGTTGAGTAATGAAATCTCGGTAGAAGAAGAAGAAGCAAGGACCCTCTTCAGTCGCACCAGAGCATACAGGTTCGTCTTCTACAGGGGATACAATGTCAAAGTTTTCAACAAACCCAACTGAAAGACTAGACACGTCTTCCGCAGAAAGCTTGGACGTGGTATTCAAAACCCCATGGGTCACCCAGGGAAACTGGGAGGTCAAGGAGGATGGCGGAGGCCCACAACGTGAATCGGCAGAACCAGATTCCTCTACTACCTCTCCAGGGGAAGATGCCATATTTGCCTAGAAAAACAAGAAAGTTTAAATCAGAAGGAAAGAATGGTTATACCTGCATCAAAAATACTAGCAGATGATGAGTCACTAGAAGATGAAGAGTTGGGCACGTCAGAAAGAGTAATTGGATCATTGGCCCCACCAGATGCCGGCATCGATCCAACAAAATCTCCATGCCGGCAACTTTCCAAAGTGGACTCGGCCAACGAGTCACATCCTTGTTCGACAAGCTTAGAACTCAAGTAGACGCAAGAGTAACATGGGACACCTCCTGAAACAGAGGAAGGATAGGGCAAAGCAGGGCTGTTGGAATATGAACCTGAGGGGGTCTTGGGTAAAGACCGTGGAACTGAAGGACTACTTTTCCTGAGGCACTGGCTCCGGGAAGAACGACCTCTACCCCGCTGAGACCTTAACTCCCTTTTCGACACCTCACCCCTTCGCCGAGATCTACCACCACGGCAGCCTCGAAGCATAGCCTCTTGCTCTTCTTCTTTGGTCCTGGGAATCCCCCAAAGCCAAAAACGGGCACCTGGAGGAATCTTTTTGAAAAAATCAGGATTTTCCTCCCCCTGCCCTTTAAAACACAAAGCTGAAGGAAAAGGGTTTTTCCCCCTCATTTGTTCAGAGATTGAAAAATTTTAATAACAAAAGGAGGAGGAGAAGAGCGAGATGATGACCATCCGCACAACAAGAGGGAACATACAACTGCGACAAGAAGGAACATACAACTGCGGCAAATATGACCCTTTGGAAGATTTTTACAGGTTTTGGAAAAAATAGCAAAATCGACGATGCAACATGCACATCTTCAATAAAAAAAGAAGAAGAAGAAGAGAGCAAAACTACAAATATGTGCAAATACCTGTTGAAGGAAGACGAAGAATCCAAGCAGAAATGGGGCACAAAACCCAGAAAACACGCACACGAAAGCAAATGCTGGTGCACGATGCTCAAAAGCTAAACAAAAACATGTGAGAGGGGAAGATGGCTTATATAGCCAACCAAACGACTGCTGGAGTATGAATCGCAAAGGTCAGTGTTATTTAAGTATTTTCACCCTCAACTTATAACTGCCACGATCGTGGATGGGAACCGCAATCATCATGCGCCAAATCACAGCGCAGAGAAGGCTAAAGAGCGAGGGAAAAACTGCCAGCTCGCACGCAAAATATATATATATATACATAAAAGTAAAATTCCGATGACAAGACAGCTGAAGCAACGCTGCAATAAATGCGCTCGAAACGCAATGACAGCATAGGAACGGCCGCTGCACACTGTAGTACCCAGGCTGGAACACGTGGCACAACGCAATGATCATCGTTCGCAAACCTACATATGAGACAAAACATGTATGAACATACAGTTGTTCACCACGTTTGAAGCTGATGCTGGGGTAATAATCAACTCAAAGTTATTTCAGCACACCCTCTACCCGGCTTCACAGGGAAGCAGTAGGCATACATACATGCCCTTGTAACCTGGGTACCATGCCGACACATGTTCGTCATGAAAATACTGACGAGATCATACACAACCGTAGACCAAATCAATGTGCAGATGCATTCTGAGATCGGGAATACCGCTTGGGGGCAATCTGCAGGTAGGATCAAGCAACTCAAGCGTATTCCTCACTCAGAATAGCAATATGGTTGATGCTCAACTAGCATGGGGAGATGAGAACCCGAAAGCAACGTGTTTGCCGACGTTGGGAAGCAGCCAAACAGATCGGCATGGTACCGGGTTGATACTCGACTCGTCGGCATAAGAGGGGCAAAGAACATCCCGTGAGAAAAAAGAATTCGCTCGTCAGAAGAGCGTACAAGTCTACAAAAGCGCACTCATAGGTTCACCTCGACTACCCGGCTACCCAGGTAGCCCGGCTGAGGGGCAACTGTTATGGACCCATATGATGGGCCCATTAAGTAATAAGCCCAACAAGGGGCAATCCAAGATATGGATTGATGCTAGTCAAATCCTACTAATCTCAGTGTGTCAGCACAGTTATCCACTTGATGCGTCAGCACAGCTATCCACTTGACGCGTCAGCACAGCTATCCACTTGACGCGTCAGCACAACTATCCAAACTATCTACAGTTAACCTCTATAAATACTAGGGCAAACCCTAAAGGTACACACATTCTCTCTCTCATTGTAATGCTGTCACTGTGCACACACTCACCCCATTGGCTAACGCCTCTATAGTAATCTGTGCACAGTGATCTCCTCGTCTCAAGGGTATCTCCCCCATAGATACCTTGGAGAAGGCATCAGATCCAATATTAACGTACTAGCCTGACTGGGCTAGACATCTCTGTCTCAAGGACAGAACAAGGACCTTTTTAATACTCCTTTAATGGTCGGAAAAATTGCACCGGTCATTTCCGGCTTCCCCGTTTTCCTCATTTTTTGCTTGTTGTTATGCACGCACTTGCTTGACACACATGTGAGTATTCTAATATCTCTGCATCCAAAGTTGATTGGTTCAATGATTTTACTATTTTTAACGTTAATTATTTTATTTTATTTTGAAAATTTAACATTAGTTATTTGTCGAGGACCTTATTCCTTCGTCCATCACATTGTAATTTTTGATAAAAAAAAAGGCACAACAAGGGAGGAAATGGTGACCCTTTTGGGTGCATATATTGTTAGTGTTGCATACTATCATTTTTATTCTAATAGACTTGTTGGGGTACCTGACCAGTGGCAAACCTACCGTTGCGCTCTTGCCCACAAGTGAGCAAGTGACTGCAATTTTTTTTTATTTTTAATGCGTTTAAAACTTTGTTTAAAAAAAAAAATTTGAAAACGCTGCACCCGAACCCCAAAACCCTGACAATAAATATGCAGACATAAATAAAAAAATTTAGGTTTGCCACTGGGTGGGGTTGAGAGCATGTGTTCGAATCTCTCCAGTACCACATTTGGGAGGGGTTTAAAGTCTTAATCATGAACCTCCCCGAATCGGATTAGTTGCGAAGTAATGAACCGATTGGAATATTTAAAAAATAAATAAACGATGGCTTGTCTTATTTATTATTTTATTATAACTGAATATGTATGACATAATGTCATACCATAACATATCCAAACATGGATATACGTTTGGTACAGCCAGCAAATAAATTAGCAAGTAAGATTGTCACCAGGAGCAACACCGAGTTGTGAACAGTATTGCGTGTAATAATTAACCCGAGCCTGAACTGTGTCAGGGTTGGCACCATCACATTCAAGTTTGCCATTGATAGCCCTTATGGTTGCGCCAAATCCCTGGTTTATCACAGGGCGCACATTTTCCATCCAGTACCATAATGCTGTCTTGAAAGATACCACAGGGTCATTGGCCACTGTCTCTGGAGCATTCAATCCATCGAAACCATTGCTCTGCCCTGCTGGTCCATAGTTGAAGTTCCATGATAGTTGGATAGGTCCACGCCCATAGTACCCTTTGTTAGGGGCGCATGGGTATTGGGTGTTGGTTTCGTCGCAATAGTCCTTTGATGCACCATCAATCTCTTCGATGTAGCAAAAATCTGCATGCACGTAATCATGTTAATTAATCATTCATTAATCACACTTTATACACATGCATATGTAGAAGATAAATAGTTGTGTTAAAACTTGATAGGGAGAGTTTTGTCGTCCATGCAATCTTACTCAGTTTGAATCGAATTAGTCGAATAATCAATGAACCAATCGATAATATATGTGAAAAAAAATAGATAAATAGTTATAAGATTAATACTAACGTCCAGTTTCATGGGTGAAATGGGCAAAAGCAGCTGCAATCTCACGCTTAGAGTCATCCACAGTATCAAGCCTACCAAATTGATTGTAGGAATTGAGAGCATTGAGGAAAGCATCTCGTGAGTAGAAGTTCTTCCCTGCACAACTAGCATCTGCCTCATCAATTATACCATTGAAGAATTCTGGTGTGACTATGTCAGCTACGGGAACATCGCTTTGGGCGCTCACAATTTTGGGCACCATCATCATCATCATCATGACAAAGGTTGCCACAAATTTTGCAACACGAATGTTGAGAGACTTGTTATTCCCCGTACTCATCCTCATCTTGGGAAAATTGCTAGCTAGCTAGTAGCTAATAGATATACAAGACAAACTAAACTGTTTGATGGACAAGGTTGAGAATTGAGAGCACAAAGAAACTTATAATTATAGTGCTACTGCTAGGACTTTGAATTTTAGCAAGTGCTGCGCCACCCTGCGCTGTTCAATGTGAGTCGTTGTTGACATTTCAGTCTGAAAATTGCGAGATTAGAATTTGTTCCGTTCTAGAAACCGTAAATGACATGGGTCCGATTTTGACTTTATATATGGCTATGATCTTTGTACACCAATAAGGTCAATTATGCCATTAAATAGAGGTGGATGGTGGTGTCCTTGATTGATCAAGTCTTCGTCTGACTTCTCCGTGTAAAAACTAAAAAGCCAACATGAAATGTAGTAGCCGTCAGTTGTCTCACACCACCGCCACTCGCATATTTTGATTTTTTTTATTTGAGAGGTGTAATTTTCACATAACATATATTAAAAGTTGGGAAATAATTTTTCATTTAGTAGGAGATAACTATTATCTCTTACAGATTCATTTACGCAGGTGGGGTCCACTTTTAGGGAGAGAGAAAAAAATAAAGTGAAACCCATCTTAAATTTGTGTGTATAGGAGATAAATTTTATCTTATGTAACATAAGAATAATAAATCCCTTGAAAGTTACGGAGAACTCCACAACTGTGTTTTCTTTTAAAGGATGATTTTTTTTAAGAGAGAAGAAAAGATAGATAACGGGAAGAGAGGAAAAAAAACTCATCAAATGATAATAGCTCAGTTGGTAGTAATTGAGTTAAGTAAGTGAAAAGAAAAGGATCTTGGTTCGATTCCACATGCCACCTTTAGGATGAGTTTAAACGTCTTCATATCTGACTTGCCCCGCATCTCATAGCCTGTTCAAAGAATTGAAACTTGTGGGGATACCGAGGCAACTCATCTCAAAGAAATAATTAGGGTTAGGTTAACTCCAAAAAAAAAAAAACCTCATTCTCTCTACCAAATGTTTTATCTCTTTCTCTCTCTTAAATATCCTTTAAAAGGATATATATTTTTCCCTATAAGTTAACAAACAGGTAACCACAAAAAGAAAAAAGTGTAACCACAAAAGAAAAAAGTTCTCTTCTCTCTCTATCTATATAAACAGGTAACCATAAGTTAACAAACAGGTAACCACAAAAAGAAAAAAGTGTAAATTTTACATGGCATATATATATATATATATATATATATATATATATATATATATATATAGGGAAAGAGTCCGCTTACAAACGTGTTTTACAAATTTTTGCAAACTATAATTTTTAAAATATAATTTTACATACTTCTGGGAGTACATAGTATAATTTGCAAAAATTTGTAAAAAAAAATTTTGTAAATATAATTTTTTTCCGTATATATATATATGAGATTTAGCGGATGTATAGTGACTCGATCTAAGGTTTGATGCGGTCAAAAAATTATAACTATATATAACGCGTAATACATAGTTATAATATTAAAGTTCTATTTTTTTCTCTCTTCAAAAATTTAACCATATACCACATGTTGTACATAGTTATAATATTAAAGTTATTTTTTTCTTTAGTAACTTTTCAAGTAGTTGTCAGGTGGCGTAGGAGAGAAAAAAATACTTTAATATTTTAACTATGTACTATCTGTAGTACATAGTTACATTTTTGAATAGAGAGAAAGAAAATACAACATTAATATTATAGTTAGGTACATAATTATAATTTTTTTACTGCACCAAACCTTAGATCCAGTCACAAGTCACATGACAAATCATTTTGCATAAATATAACTTATCATATATAGATTATGAAATTTGAATATTTGATTAGTTATATGGCTTATTATGGACTATTATATTTATATTAAATGTGTCTTAACGTGTTAAAATCTAATATTTTTTAAAATTAATGTGTCAGCGTGTCATATCTCGTGTCAGTGTCGGTGTAACATAATCCATCGCTTGACACATCCAATATTAACCCTTGATTCTCCCGGATGAAATCATATTTATAAATTTAATAAAATTGTTATTTATTTGATTATTATAGTATTGTGTTTGTATTAGTACAATTTTTTTGAAAATATAATTAAATAATAGAGGTGCGGTTATACTTATTACTGATATGTTTTACAACTCTTATTACTAAATTAATCATCGTTAATTTTCATCAATCTAACGATTATAATTTATTGGGTATACTTATTAATTAATTATTAATTCTCAATAAAATATAATCTTTATATTTATAGAAATCAACTGATTAATTTAATAATAACCTAAATAATATGTCATAAAGTATCATAATCCGTTCGATAACAGCATTCATTTTAAAATGTATGGTGTTTTCTTTTTGAAAATTAATAAAATATTTTTAATACTTTTTAAAAAAATTATTTTTTACCTATATAAAATTAGGGTTTTGATTTTCTTATGCAGTAGGAGAAAATTTTCTCATATTGTAGACACATCTTATGTGGGGCCAATATCTATTAAAAAAATAAAAAAAAAATATTACACGAAGATCGAAGAATCATTAGTAAGAGAAAACAATTTTCTTACGAGAAAATATTTTCCCATAAAATTAAGGAAAAACTTTATGAGAAAAAAACTAATTTATTTTGTAATAGAAACTTTCAAAAGAAAAAATGAAAATTTAGTATAACTTGGATTTCTTTTTTAAAATAAAAAAGGGTTATCCTAGAAAAAGCTACAGCAACAACCGGAGAAGGAATGTAATGATGTCTCTTATTATTCCCTCACTCTCAATGTCACTTTCCCTCCCTTCCAATCCCAAAGCGCCAAAACGGTTTCTGGCTTTTCATTTTTTCAGAAGCACTAAGCAGAAAATCTCTCTCTTGAGTTTCAGGCCTTTCCCAACAGTTCCCCTTCATTGCTCTCAGGTCACCTTCACTTCCTATTGCTTTTTTTCTTTTCTTTTTAATTTAGTAAATAAAATCTTTCAATTGTGTCTTTGGATTCAACACTGACATTGATTTTGTGTATAATTGATTCACACCCATTTGTTGAGGTCTGCGTAGAATCTTTCAAATTCAATCATCGCCTTTGTATCTCTGAATTTGAATTGCTACAAAACGAAAGCATTTGTAATAGTAAGATAGAAAGTAGTCGCATTCGAAATTAATTGTGAATTTCATACTTGAATTGACGGGAACTGCCATACCTAGCACCATGGCTATAATTTAAAAAGAGATTTGAAGATTTACACACTTAACAAGTGATGTTCTTGATAACACTGGAAGATTAGGTTGCAATACCATTTGATTTGGTTTTGCAGTTATTTGTTGTCTAGAGGAATCCAAAATTTAAAGCTTAAAAGTGGTTTAATTGGGGTAATAAGACTAGCCATGCCTGAATTAAATGAAATGTTTATCCATTAGTTTCATTTAGGTTCATCTGCTACCGATTCCAACTAATTTGGGATAAAAGTATGGTTGATGTTGATGTTATTTATCCATTAGTGCAAGAGCTACAAGTTCCTTCACTGCATTGGATATTATCATGCAATAAAATTTCTTGGTTCCATAATTTTTGACATGTCTGGCAGGAAAGAAGCATTGAACCGTTGGGACATGAACAGGATGAGAGCATTGGAAGAGTGACCACTTTATCAATCACAGAGGACAACGTTTTAAGCAGCAACTTTCCAGTGCTTCAACTGAATGACCTACCTCCTCTAGTCAGTGCATTGAAGGCCTCAGCTGAACAGAATACAGCCAGTTTTCACTTTCCTGGACATAACAGAGGGCATGCTGCTCCTGCTTCATTGACTCGTCTAATTGGAATAAGACCATATGTTCATGACTTGCCTGAGCTTCCAGAGCTTGACAACCTCTTTTGTCCCCAGGGTCCCATATTAGAAGCACAAAAAGAAGCATCCAAACTGTTTGGATCGTCAGAGACATGGTTTCTTGTTGGAGGTACTACTTGTGGGATCCAGGCAGCAATAATGGCAACCTGTTCGCCTGGAGAATTTCTGATTCTTCCTAGGAATTGTCATTTATCTGCTATATCTGCTATGGTATTATCTGGTGCAGTGCCCAAGTACATTATTCCTGACTATAAGAATGATTGGGACATTGCTGGTGGTGTAACCCCATTGCAGGTGATTCATATATTATGCACTACCATATTGTGCTTACCTTCATGAAAATTTGCTGATAAAAAAAATTGGCATGCCAGCAGTTGATATGATCATAATTGTCATATTCATTCATAAAGCAATGTAATAACTCTTACACAGAAGATGAGTTTTAGTTCTGAATTTCTGATTTTTTTACTCTTTTCTAGTGATCTTATCTAGTTTTGTTCTCACTTTTTTCTGAGTGGGATGGCTGGGTGATGTTGCAGGTATTGAATGCTATTCAGGAGCTAGAAATGGAAGGGAAAAAAGCAGCAGCAGTTTTCATCACTTCACCTACTTATCATGGTATTTGCAGTAACTTGAGCGAGATTTCTGAGTTGTGTCATTCTCGTAAAATTCCTTTGATCGTTGATGAAGCTCATGGTGCACATCTAGGATTTCATTCTAAACTGCCAAACTCAGCCCTCCAGCAAGGGGCTGATCTGACTGTACAGTCCACTCACAAAGTTCTGTGCTCTCTTACTCAGTCATCTATGCTACACATGTCAGGTAATATTGTAGATAAGGAAAAAATATCTAGATGTCTTCAAACTCTTCAAACCACAAGCCCTAGTTATCTACTTTTGGCATCCCTTGATGCTGCTAGAGCTCAACTTAGTGAAAGCCCTGATATTGTATTCAACCAAGCAATTGGATTAGCCTATGAAGCAAAGTGCCTGCTAAAACGAATCCCTGGTGTCACAGTGCTTGAGAATTCAAGCTTTCCAACCTTTCCTGCAATGGATCCCTTGCGACTTACTGTTGGTTTTGGGAAGCTTGGTTTATCAGGTTACAAAGCAGACGAATTCTTATACAGGGATTATGGAATTGTCTGTGAAATTGTTGGGAGTAAGTCCATCACTTTTGCACTTAATCTTGGTACTTGTAGGGACCATGTCCAAAGGCTTTTATTGGGAATAAAACATCTAGCTGCTACATATGCTTCCATTCAGCAACCTGAAGAGAGAATACTTACTGGTCATGAACCCTTTGAAGATATAACCATGATTTTGATCCCTAGAGATGCCTTTTTCGCAAGTAAAAGAAAAGTAGCAATAAAGGAGAGTCTCGGTGAGGTTTCAGGGGAGCTTATATGTCCATATCCTCCGGGAATACCAGTATTGATACCTGGTGAGGTTATTACTGAAAAAGCTGTTGATTATCTGCTCCATGTAAGGAGTAAAGGTGCTGTAATTAGTGGAGCATCTGATCCCTTGCTTTCTTCTATAGTTGTCTGCAATGTATAGTAAAACATCTGGGGAGAAGCACCTTGAAGTTAAAACTTCCCAAGTGCCCTTCTTTGGTCTCTGAGTCACACCAGAAGGTTATAACACTTGACAAAGATTTCACACAGCTGAAGAAATTCTTAGGTTGTTAGTTTGGTAACTTTTCTATCATTTTATTCTGAATTTTTGTCTCTTGAAAATGCTAACAAATTCCGATGCTCTAGATGTAGTTCAGAATCATTGGGAAAGAAATGTATTAGTCATGACACTGGGGCTATTACACGTTGATACTTATCGAAGGGCTGAAACTATAGCTAGAAGCACCTGCACGCTGCCATAAATATGAAAAGAATGGACTCAGCCATAAAAATGAAAAGATAATGGCAATTAATTTTATATTTTGTTGATAGATTTATAGAATGTTAAAGAAGAAAAGGAAGGATTAGTTAATAATTTCTTTTATTGCATATACGATATACAATGTTTGTATAGGCCATTGAAGTTATGGTGACAGGAAAGTCAAATCCTGGGAAGTCAATGCCAGACACCAGCAATCACTGCAATGTATGTATGTTCATCCTGGTCCTCAACAATTGTCTGTTTTCAATTTTTAGGATTAGAAAAGTCGACTCAAATAAACGTCAAAGTGTTAGACCCATGAAAGTTTCAAATTTTGTTGTCTTGAAAAGTCAATTAGATGATGATGCAGAGGAAAATAGTTATTTAAATTCAGAATGTTTAAGTTGGGCATATATTAGACTAATTATATCATTAATAGATAATTATTATATCTAATAATTAACTATCATAATTGCTTGTAGTGTATGTGGAATGACTTATTTTTAAGTTGAAAAAAAATCAGTTTCTTGAGGGAAATTAAAAATAAAATGATTATTAAAAGAAGAAGAAGAAGCTGAACTAAGCTTGCGAGTTTAAGTATTTCTTTCGTGCATTTGCTGAAGGAAAATAGTGCCTTGATTGCCTTCTTCTATTCTAGTATTGTGCTGATTAATTTAAAGTTAATTCTTCTATTTCGTGCATTACACTTGTAAATATAAATGAAATATAAAACATATATAAATTAAAAAATATTTAAGAAAAAATTGATTTAATTGGTCGGAGATTATGTTATTGGTAATAAAATATTAAAATATTAAAAATACATATGTTTAAAACTTTTAGTTTTGAAAATTCTCAAACGTTTAATTAATTAATAAGAGATTATTCTAATAGTAATAACAGAAATTTGAGTATTGATTAAATAAATTAATAAAAATAGAAATTTGGGTTGATTAAATAACTAATTAAAAAATATTTATTTGATTTTATATGAAAATTAAAAAAAAATGTGTCTCGAAAGATAAATGGCCTGTCATTCCACTCGGATTTCAAATTTGTCAGAAAGGTTGATAATAAAGATATTATTCAGTGCATACTCTTAATGTTTGTTTTTACACATTAAACAAGGAATTATATTTTCTTATGTAACAAGAGATATTTATCTCATGTTGTACTAATAATTTTATGTGGGTCTCATTGCATGGGAGAAGAGGGGAAAAAAATGAATTTATATTTTTTTGAGTGTGTAGAAAAGAGTTGTTATCTCATGTGACATGAAATTAATATTTCCCTTAAACAAATGGCATAGAGCATAACAGAAAAATTGTTGGGACTCACATAAATTTAATGTTTGAGAACTCCAGAAAAGAAAAAAAAAAAAAAGAGAGTATTGAAACAGGTCTTTTTTACCATGAGTGGCACGCATCATACAGTATAATCTCATCTACTGCACATGAGATTACAATGATGCTGAAGCCAGGACAGAGACAAATAAATGACTATCCCGAACAAACGAAATACGTGGCTGTTTGGAAATTGGAATTGGATCTGTGGACTGGACTGGACCCCACATTGTTGTGGCAAAACCCCAATACATAAAGGGATAAGACATCATCATCGTTCATCGGTGATCACGAACACGAACGTCTTGATGGCCTCCTACTCCAACTCCGTTACAGTTGGAGTTGGTTCCTTAACAACTTGTCCATTCACTAGAGCCAGAACATGTTGCACTCACGTTCATGTTGTCACTCCAAATGCAAAATCCAGAGGCACTCTTTCTCTCAGTTTATTCAATCTGTCCAGGAGTAGAAGGTACTGAATTACTTCACTTTTTTCTTTTACTACCCACTATTTACTGGTATCACTCTTCCTTCAGGTTACAGAATGATACTTAACTAACAACTGTATTTAGTTTACTTGAGATAAGAATTAAGATATGGCTCATTTATTTTGCTTTTGTGTTTTTCCTTGCAGCTTAGATATTCTGTCTAGTCCCACTGGGACAAATCTCAGACACCTCAATACGCCACTTTCAGCTCTTAATTCAGGTCATTTTTTGACCCATTTTCCTTTGGTGGATTTAAAATATGTGAATGGATGGACTGTGGAATTTTAAGTAGAGAATATGGGCAATTTACCAACTTCCAAGGCAGAAAGCCATGTGCTTTGTATAAAAAATTTCGTCCCTAAACTCTTTTGAGGTTTACTATCTTTGCTTGTATACCCATTTTGCATTGTGAGTTATAACTAGTTCTAAGCTGATATTATGCTGTTGCATTGTAGGGTTAGAAGCATCAATTACAGATCCCAACGAAAAAACAGCTGTGTTAACAGATGCCAAAATAGTTGTAGAATCCGAAGATGAAAATAAGATACAAGTGAGCACGCAGAAAAAACTGATTCCAGCGTTGAATTGTTATTCTGGCTCTTTCTGGAAATTATCTGATGTTTGTATATGTTGTCATTCTCTGTATCCCAAATTGTATCTTTTACTGCTTCCATGTTTCTCTTGAAATTTTCTTCAATCCCTTGCCGATATATAGAACTGTCATTCTCCTATAGATTTTACTGATCAAGTTTATCAATTTGATAACGTGGAGGAAATAGGCTCAACTAAAACCTGTAGTAAGTAGTCTTCATGCTCACTTGATCAGACCAAGTCTTCCACCATGGTACTTAATTTGTTTCTGTCATAATTATGTACTCCATCATATTACTTTTTGTTTATCCCAGCAAGAATGAAGCTAATGTTGCTATTAACATGTTTTGATTGTTATCCAGACATTATGATTAGTATACCATGCCGCCTATAGCTTCAAATATAAGCAAATATGGCCAGAATCCAGATATATTACTATAACAAGCCTTTTCCTTTTCCCTTTAGCCTCCCCCTTTTATCATCTATTATTTGTACTGAAGTGTGTTTCTATAAATTACTGCATGATCTTAATGTTATGTTTTAATTTGCTTATACCCTGCTGTTTTTTGGCTTGACTTTGTGATACTTTCTTATTTTTTCATTTGAGTTCATCTATGACCGACCCCAACTAATTAGGGATAAAGGTGGTATTGATATTGATGTTGTGATACTATCTTATGGCTTAAATGGCAGTTAAGAGTGGACTTGACTGGTGATCAAACACAAAAGGTATTTGACCGTATCCTCGCAAATTTGGCTCGTACTGCCCCGCCAGTTCCTGGATTTCGCATGCAAAAAGGAGGTAAGAAGCTGCATTATTGATACCATGCAATTTCGTACGCTGAAAATATTCTATCAAGTTATTACAGTTTTTGCTTTCATGCCCAATTTATAATTCTTATGTCGCAACACATGCCAAGAACACACATGAGCTTGGCATTTGGCATTTGCTGCAAGCTCCTATTCAAAAACCCTTATCCTGAAGCGATGCTTGAACACTCTGTATTACCAAACACATTCCTGACTTACTAAAAAGTGATAACCATCTTTTCCGTGAAATTAGATCCGTTGCATTCTAGAGCTCCATTGTTCAGCTATTTAAGCTGTAACATCCCCGTCTCGAGCCGGTTCAATTAACATACATATGATAAAACAGAAAACAGCGGAAGACTTAACTTACGAAAATATGAGCTAACTTTTTCTTTTTCTAACTTAATTCTTTCTCGGCGTAAACGAAAATCGGGCAGAGTTTCCTCTATAAATCGGACAACTGGGGATTTTCCAATCCCACTCAGAAGCATTTCCTGATAAACAGTTTATACAACATATCAATTCGGAAATACCAGATATCCAAATATAATCGAATACCCATACATGGGCGCATGCATAACATGGCTCCGTGCCGCTAAATCTAACAGCATGCCATCAAAACATAAACCTATCTGAATACTACATCATCATATAACGTTCCTGAATACTCAAATGTACATGCATCAAACTGACAGACATGTACAAAACATATACAGGCCATATACAAAATAAAGGATCAATATCATGATCCATCAAATGCGAAAATACTAAAATACATCAAACACTCCAAAAAGGTAGCAGCCTACAGCCACTCAAAATCCGGTCTGTCAACTGCCTCAGCCACGTGTCGTGTCCCTGCCTAGTGAGGACTCACCGGAAATCTGGGCACCTGAAAATGTGTCCCCAAAGAGGGGTGAGATTACAAATCTCAATAAGCTCCAGGTTTATAGAGAATTCTCCATACCCCTGGCTCACTCCTGCATGAAAGTCAGATACAGAGTATACAAATACAACATATAACAGATATCATAACAGAACAGAGCATATATCCATATCATATCAGAGATGTGCGCCGTCATTCCCAAGGGAGGACCCCAAGCGGAAATCAACGCACGTGTTCCCGAGGGAGGACCCCAAAGCGGAACCAGACATATCAGAGGAGTACACCATCAGTCCCGAGGGAGGACCCCAAAGCGGACGTCCGGGTACTATACAATCAATGGCCAGAGATTGTTACAGAAATCATATTACAGAAGTCATATTAGAGCAAAACATATCATGTTATCAAATAACTCTATATGAATGCATCTATACAAAGCATCTAAATCACAGCCATACAGTCCAACCATAGTTCACTAACCATGGTGGAGCACTCAAGCAGGAAAAGACTCCTTAAACATAGAGCTTACCTCTTGAAGCTTTACCAATACGCTTACTTGTGGAACAAGTTACTTTTATCGCTTCAAGAGATTTCCGATTCTTCTCAATCCCTAGGCACACCTAGAGAATAATTTACAATGCATCAATAAAATGATGCAATACCATAATTATTTCATAAGCATACATTTTATCGCTTATTTTCCTTTCTTTGCATTTTTGCCAATCCTATGCCAATACACAAGTCTAGACCTCTTTATAACCGTTGGTGTTCTTTAATTTAATCAACCATTCCCTTAGGAATTTTCAACATAAATCATGCTATTTTTCTTCAAAACTCATCACCTTTATACAATTTGTTACAACACATTTTATTTACAATAAAATGAACACAATGCATTTTCGTTACTTCATTACAACTTGCAAACACCTAGGAATGCTTCCACTAAATTCCTATTTTGAGTTTAGACACCAAGTCCTTTTTACTTAGGCATTCTTACTAACTCATCCATTTTCACTCATTTCCAACACACTATACCTTCACAATACATAATATAATTTTTTTCCACAATAACTCCTACTCACTCCATGATGGCCGAAACCTAGGAGGAATATGCAATAGGACTTTTAAATTTTTATATCACATGTGGATGCTTACTCAACACTATAACTTCCTAAACAACAATAATCCATCATAAATTTCACATTCTAACATCAATTATTTCCCAACAAAATATGCTCATCAATTTCATAACTTAAATCATCAAAATAATATCATGGAAATAGAGGTTTCTTACCTCTAAACACTTGTACAAAGCCTAGAGAGCAATCTCCAAGCCAAGCTCCATCCAAAAACTCACTTTTTCTCCTCCAATGAATAGTAACTCGAAAATGAGAGGAGGAATAACTCTTCACACACTCAACTATAGCTCAAATGGATAGGTGGAATGGATTCATTGAGTGGTTTCCAATCAATTTCATGTGGTGGGTCATTGGATTTGGTGGATGGATGATGAAGAAATCAAAGAAGGAAAATTTGAAACCCTAGCCCCTTCCCCTCCATGTGCAGCTCGGCCATGCAAGAGAGAGAAGAAGAAAATCTGAAATGAATAGTGTTTCATTTAAGTGACAAGGCTATATAGGCACATGTGGCCATTTTCATCGGATGTTTTTTTATCGCGTATTTTAACTTAAATTGACCCGGAACTAACTCAAAGCTACAAACATATTTTTTATTTCCTAAAATCATTTACATTAATTTTTTTATTTCCTAAGGAACAATATTCATAATTCACAGTATGGTTTTTGCACCGTTTTTGACGAAATGCACTGTGCATCACTAATTGTACTTCCTTTACTTACGAAACTTAAAACTTATAAACTTATCATTTTCTTGGGCCTATATTGACTTGCTTGGCATATATTGGACTTTCTTATTCTTATTTCATCAATTATTTATTTCTGGACTCTACCGGTTGCTTAAACAGCAGTACAAAATACCCGGTAGAAACACTATTCACGAGATTTTCACGGAAAGTGCCAGACTATACAATTTTTCGTTCTGAACTCATATTTGTCATCAGAATTTTCAAATTATGTTCCTAAAATTATTTTGCTCATTTTAAGCTCTACCGGTTAATTCACAAAACTGTAAATTCTCCGGCAGAACGCACTGTTCATAACATAGTCATGATTACAGTCAAAATACTCGAAATCGCTCACTGAATCTAATTATGGCATTTAAATCCTTAAATTAAATCTCTAACTAAGATTTACCAGTTAGGGTCATTATATTCACCCCACCTTTTAAGGATTTTGCCCACAAAATCAAATATCAAATATACATATACCTGACATCAAACTCAGGATATCGCTGGAGAATTTCATTCTCCCGCTCCCAAGTGGCGTCCTCAGGAGTCAATCCTTCCCATTGTACCTTGATCATGGGAATAGTCCTGTTTCTCAACACTTTTTCATCACGTGCTAGAACCTTAAACGGTCCCACAACAAACTTCAAGTCTTTTCTTACTTCGATATTGTCCGGCTGTACAATGTGGGATTCATCCGGCACGTATTTTCGAAGTTGACTGATGTGAAAAACACTATGCAAATTTGACAGATGTGGAGGTAAGGCAAGCTGATAAGCCACAGGTCCAACCCTTTTCATAATCTGGTAGGGCCCAATGAACCTAGGACTCAACTTCCTCACTCCTAGAGCACGCCCAACACCCGTAGTCGGAGACAAACGGATAAATACATGATCCCCTTCTGAAAATTCAAGGGGTCTATGCTTTGCATCATAATAACTCTTTTGGCGACTCTGTGCTTTCTTCAATCGATCCTTAATCATCATAATTTGATCGGTAGTCTCTTGGACCATATCAGGCCCAAATAACTGCCTCTCTCCAATTTCTGACCAACAAGTAGGCGCCCTGCACCTACGGCCATACAAAGCTTCATACGGAGCCATGCCCAAACTGGCATGATAACTATTATTGTAGGAAAATTCCACTAGAGGAAGATATTTATCCCATGCATTTCCCTGCTCTAAGGCACAAGCCCTCAACATGTCCTCCAGGGTCTGAATAGTCCTCTCAGTCTGACCATCAGTCTGGGGATGATAAGCCGTGCTCAGCCTCAACTGTGTACCGAAGGCCTGTTGCACTGCATCCCAGAGTCTAGAAGTAAATTTAGGGTCCCGATCACTAATGATACTTTCAGGAACACCATGAAGTTTCACAATCTCTCTTACATATATCCGAGCCAACTGCTCTGTGGAGAAACTCGTTTTAACTGGTATGAAATGTGCAGACTTTGTCAATCTGCAACAACTACCCAGATGGAATCAAAACCAGCCTGAGTTCTCGGTAATGCTACTACAAAATCCATAGAAATACTGACCCATTTCCATTCCGGAATATCCAAGGGCTGCAGTAATCCAGAAGGTCTCTGATGCTCAATCTTAACTTTCTGACATGTCAAACACTTACTCACAAATAGAGCAATGTCTTTCTTCATTCCCGACCACCAGAAATTCCGTTTCAAGTCTTGGTACATCTTGGTAGCACCAGGATGGATAGTGTACTTACCCATGTGACCCTCAGTTAATACCTCATCTACCATCTGACCTTTTGGAACAATGATTCGATCCTTGTAAAACTTAAGACCGAACCTATCAGTGGACACAAAGTCCTGCTCTTTCATAGACTGAATCTCTTCATCAAGCAATTGAGCTTCTTTAATCCGCTCAACTAATGAATTCAGGACTACCGTAGTAGTCAATAAATGCGGACTATCTTCTGTATTCACAGGAATGTGGAGATCCCTGAATTTCTCAATCAAATTATACTCGGAAATCATCAAATTGGCCATACCAAGCGTCTTTCTGCTTAAAGCATCAGCTACTACATTGGCTTTACCAGGGTGATATTGCAATTCAAAATCATAATCCTTCAGAAATTCCACCCATCGGCGTTGCCTCATATTTAGCTCCTTCTGATCAAACAGATACTTTAGACTTTTGTGGTCACTGTAGACAATAAAATCGGCCCCGTATAGAAAGTGTCGCCAAATTTTCAATGCGAACACTACGGCTGCCAACTCAAGATCATGTGTCGGATAATTCTCCTCATGCG